TTAAAAAAACGCTACGAATTAATTCCAACACCTAATATATATATATATATATATATATATATATATATATATATATGTGTAAATTTTTAATTCAGGCAAAAAGATGTACTACAGTATCTGTAGAAGTTCCCAAATCTCAGCATAAATATGTAATTGGACCTCGTGGTAGCACTATAGCGGAAATATTACAAACAACTGGAGTGAGCGTAGAAATGCCTGCACCTGACTCGGCAACTGGTACCATAACTCTTAGAGGACCCCAAGAGAAGCTCGGCCAGGGTAAGCAATTTAAAAAATTATTAATTAGTTTTTAAATATTATATCTTTAGATAACATATTAATTATTGCACATTTATTTATATTCTCATTTATATAGCGCTTAACAAGGTATATGAAAAGGCAAATAGTGTTCGCACTGCTGTGGTGGAAGCTCCGGTATGGATACATAAATACATCATTGGACGCAAAGGTGTAAACATCAAAAAAATTACTCAAGAAATGCCAAAAGTAAACGTAGAATTTACTGGAAAAGAAGATAAAATCAAGATAGAAGGCCCACCTGAAGAAGTAGAAAAAGCACAAAACGAGTTGCAGCTTATGGCCAACGATCTTATATCAAAGCTTACTTTCACAGAATTAAATGTTGACCCAAGATTCTACAAACATATCATTGGGAAAAATGGATGTAATGGTAAGTATTTAATATCGTTGCAATTTTTAATAATATCTTGTAATGCAAAGAAGAATGTCTGAGTTTGTATTAAATTTATTCTGCTTTTATTAAAGTGAATCGTGTTAAGGAAGGAACAGGTGTAGTGATTAGTATTTCTGAAAATGATGGCAGTAACGTTATCCGTATTGAAGGTAATCATGCTGGGGTATCAAAAGCTCAAACGGTATATATTTTTAATTAGTATCAAATATCGTTATTAAAAATATGTGAAAAAAATATTAATGTTTTTATTTTATAAAAAATAGGAACTTGTAGAAATGGTTAAAAAACTAGAAAATGAGAAAGAAAAGGATGTGATTATAGATCACAGATATTATCGTAACATAATTGGAAATAAAGGAGATAATATCAAAGAAATTAGAGATAAATTTAATCAAGTACAAATTGTTATACCTGGACCAGGTAAATAATTTATATACATAATTTTATACTGTATTAGTTTATAATATCACAATAAAGCATTTATATCGTTCTAACATTGTTTACAATTTTTATCAGCTGATCAATTTTTTTCAGGCGAAAAAGGAGACATAGTGAAAATTAGAGGACCTAAAGAAGACGTAGATAAGTGCCATAAACATCTAATGAAGTTGGTAAAAGAACTTAACGAAAGCAATCATGTATTGGAAGTACCTATTTTTAAACAGTTTCATAAGTTTGTTATTGGAAAAGGCGGTGTTAACATCCGTAAGGTTTGTATCAGGTTTATTTTTTTTTTTATTTTATTTTTTTTTACTAATTGCATTTATTATGACTTTAATCTTATTTATTATGAATTATGTGATACAGATTAGGGAAGAAACGCAAACAAAAATTGATTTGCCTGCAGAAGGTGAGAAGAGTGATGTTATAACTATCACTGGAAAAAAGGAAAATGTGGAAAAAGCGAAAGAAATGATACAAAAGATTCAAAATGAATTGGTAATTTGTTAATGTTCTATATATAATAAGTGTAAATAATTAAGAGATTTCTGTGAATACATAAATATTTATCGCACTAGGCTAATATCGTTACCGAAGAGATCACTATACCACCAAAGTTTTACAATTCTCTTATTGGTACCGGAGGTAAATTGATACATTCTATTATGGAAGATTGCGGAGGTGTTACGATCAAATTCCCTACGGCAGAAAGTAGAAGTGATAAGGTAAAAGAGAAAAAAAATTTTTGATCAAATTGTAATTGTTACGGATAAATGTATACCCTTGTATGTACACATAGGTTTGCATCAGAGGTCCAAAAGACGATGTGGAGAAAGCAAAAGCGCAGCTTTTAGAACTAAGCAATGAAAAGCAATTATCTAGTTTCTCGGCTGAAGTACGTGCCAAAGTTCAACATCATAAATTCCTTATTGGAAAGAATGGTGCCAACATCAAAAAGGTAGAGTGCACGAATTCAGTATAGTGTATTTCCAGATTTGATTTGGGAAGTAAATTTTTACATAAATTCTTTTTTGTTTATAGATAAGAGAATCCACAGGTGCACGAATTATGTTCCCGACAGAGGAAGATCAAGATAAGGAAGTGATTACAATTATGGGAAAGAAAGAAGCAGTTGAGAAGGCTAAAGCCGATTTAGAAGCTACGATTAAAGAGATTGTATGAGAATCGTTATTTTCGAATAATTCATGTAAATATAGATTATATCTCTGAAATCTTTTTTAACATATTTACAGGACAATATTATCGAGGGCGAAATTCGTATCGATCCTAAGCATCACAGACATTTTGTAGCACGAAGAGGCGGTGTACTGCATCGAATTGCTGACGAATGCGGTGGTGTGCAGATTTCATTCCCTCGGGCAGGCGTCGATAGTGATCGCGTTAGTTTAAAAGGCTCGCATGAGTGCATAGAAGCGGCAAAACAACGAATGCGAGAAATCGTTCAGGAACTAGTAAGTTTGTAGAACGAACACCGAATGTATCATCAAGCATGTATGTTTACTATTGTTTTTTTTTTTCAATTAGGAATCTATGGTAACGGTGGAATGCGTAATACCGCAAAGACATCATCGTACAGTAATGGGTGCAAAGGGTCGCAAAGTGCAAAACATAACATCTGAATATGATGTGCAAATTAAATTCCCCGATCGCGACATATACGGTTAGTATACTGTTTTCATCATCTCTTATGCAAATATATTCATCACAAATTGTTAATTTTATTGAATCAGTAAAAACTTTTATTTTGCATTATTCTAGATGAGCAAAAAGTGGAACAAGTTAACGGTGAAAATGGAGAAGGTGTGGAAACTATTCCAGCTTGCGATATAATTCGTATTACCGGTCAACCTGAAAACGTTGCTGCTGCTAAGCAAGCTTTACTCGATCTCGTCCCTATCACGATTCAAGTTAATATTCTTGTACTAATGTGCCCTCAATTATAGAACTAGTCTTAAGCAAGATTTTTTTCCCTTTGCATTTAGGTTGATGTTCCATTTGATTTCCATCGTTCGATAATTGGCCAGAAAGGTAAAGATGTGCGTGAATTAATGAATACATATGACGTACACATCATGCTTTCTCCAGCGGAGGAAAAGTTGGATTACATCAAAGTAACTTTGTTATACATTGATTATTGGAGTAATAATATAAATATTTATCTCATATACTTATCTTTTATCTATTTCTTAGATTTCTGGAACACCATCCTGCGTTCAAAGTGCCAAGGAAGCTATCCTTGAAAAATGCGAGGCTTTGAAAGCCGAACGAGAAGATCGAGCATTAAAATCGTTTGAATTAAAAGTAAGTTCATTATTAATTCATGGTTGATTTTCCAATAAATTAAAATTTAGAATATTTTGAAAAAAAGACGTCGAATATTTTTTAAAGAAAAATAAATAATATAAATAATAACACATCAAATGTTATCTCGTTATTACATAATTCACATTTATTCAATTAGCTTGAAGTTGATCCGGAATATCATCCAAAAATTATTGGGCGAAAAGGAGCGGTGATCAGTAAAATTCGTAGTGATCACGATGTTCAAATTATCTTTCCGCGCAAGGGTGATTCCGAAGAACATATTATTACAATAATGGGATATGAGAAGAATGCATTCAGTGCACGAGATGATATCATGAAGATTGTCAATGAATTGGTAAATCAGTTTTTATATAAATATTTCTATAAAAATATCCACCCCTATTTATACTAAGGATTTTATTTAATACAATTTATTACTTTCTCTTATTCTCTTATACTTGTTAGAATGGTTTAACAAAAGAGGAAGTGCAGATACACGCTGCAGTTCATTCGCGTTTAATCGGTGCAAAAGGTAGAAATATCCGTAAAATAATGGAGGAATTTAAAGTTGACATAAAGTTTCCGAGAAAAACCGATGCTGACCCCAATATCGTAACTATCGTGGGAGCGGAAGACAAAGTAGCCGAAGCGAGGGAACGTTTACTGAATCTAGAGGAGGAATACGTAAGTAACATTTGCTTAAAGCTATTTATAATGTAAGAATTTTAAAACTATAATTGACAAAAAAATACAATGGCAGATGCAAGATGTGATAGAAAACGAATATCGTGAAAGTTTGCGTTCGCCTCAACGTGATGACGGTAACAACATCGGTGGCAGTGAGAATGATACTGGCTTCATCGTGAAAGGCGGACCATGGGAACAGCAACAACAGCCTCAAAGCGCACCGAATACAGCTAGTGTAGAAGAATTCCCGCAATTCGCTGGTTACTCTCATGTACCCGTTGTAACTCCAGACGGCCCTTGGGGAATTAAGCGTTAAACTATAAATCTGAAAAAATCACACTAAAAACCAATTGATGAAATCTAATAAGCTAACGAGATGTAAGGTAACTTTCCTCTGACAAACGGTATGTAAAATACATATGAGCATACACATAACACATACACACATGAAACACATCTTACACTTGCATATGCACTTGTGTTGGGTGGTTCCCTGTTCCATTACTGACGTTGTTGCTGCATACGACCTGGCCATTCTATTGGACTCTGACACTGGTTTACTACACACAACATTTGACGACGATGTTTATATTTACAATTCATAATACCGATGTCCTATGTATCTGTAACTGTAATGCATGTTGTCTTGAGTTTGTCGCCATGTCACTCGATCCAGTCGGACGTACACATGTACGTCAATTTAATCTCGTGGCTTTCATTTTTAATGATATGCTTTCCAGGTACAGATATGTTGTACTTAAGACTGTGGCTTCGTGGGAAATAATCGGATCAGCGTTCTGCGGAAGAAGACTAAATCCTCAAAAATTCCGAAGTAGAATTATTCTATAGTATTTTCTACTTAAGAAATGCAAATTGTCCGTGAATACGATTTGTATTCTACGATTAAATTTTTGTGTATGTTAGTTTCTTCCCGCAGAAACTGGCCGATTTATTCGTGTATTATATTATTTTCACAGATAATCTTTGTACTGCGTATAGACACTAACAGTCATACGTTGATCTTAGCATAATAATTTGTTAATTTATTTATATCTTTTTTGTACATATATCACATTTTCTCGTTATTTTGTGCCACTTAAGTGAAGTGGTTTCTAAACTACATCACGATTGTTGAAATTTATATTATAAAATTTTCATGAATCAAAAAAAAAAGAGGAAACGTAGGGGCTTTCTAGGGAAAAGTTTGTTCCTTAGAGGGGTTACGCAATTTTTAATTACATTAATTATTATCAACTCGACTTACGTCTCCATGATTTTAATACAAATGAGAGATCTGTCGATGCATTGAATGCATACTTATTAATAATGATGTCCAAATAACAAGATTTGTAATCGGAGATTGAAACCAGTATAATCTTCAGTAAATGAAATTTTTGATGCTGTATAGAAACAGGAAAATGTGTTTTATGCCATTTCTTCACATTTGCATTGTTCTCAATAAATAGAAATCATTTTCTTGTACTTGTAACATCAAAATGAATTATTATACTATTTTTAATCATTATAAGAAATCAATGTTGTATGTTCAAGAAACACGATATTTAGAAGGCCTTGATCCCGCGTCGCTTATTCATTAAGACTACGTTCCGTTGCATGCATAATGCGCATGATGTATCATTTATCCTTTAACACTTGCGAACAAAGATAAAATGATATCTCAAGCGCATTAATGTGTACAACGAAACGCAGCCTAAGATATACGTGAAATCGGCACTCTGTAGAGAATGGTCAAATTAAATCTGTTGAATGATGTTATGAATAGTGAACGATACACGAATTCCTTTCGATAGCCGGCTTTATTTATTCGTTCTACTTTAATATTTTGTACACCGTTTGATGTGCAAGTCTTTGCATTCTACTATTTATGAGGCCAACTAGCTAAGAAAAGGATATTCAGTTCAAGTGCCTTGTCTATTTTCTTCGAGACAGCTCATTTCAATTGTTGGAGGAATGTGAATAATAGATTATACATATAAATAAAAAGTACAATGTATATGTATATATATATATATATATATATATATCTGAAAATCACTGGATGATAAATACTCTTAAAGATTCCTCTCACGAATTCTCAATGTAATAGTTTTGAATTAAAAGTCTTTTACAAGCTATTTTGTATTTTTCGAATCTCATTTGCGGAAAAACACATTTTTAATGGATGGTCATTTTGAAACTATCGATGCTTCGATATTTGCAATAAAATATTAAAATATTAAATAGATATATTTTATCTGTCCTTAAAGTATCATCTAGTGATTTTAGGACAGCCTGTATATATACACATCACATGTACACACATATATAGATATTGATAATAATTATTCTATACAATATGTAATATGTAATAGAAGAAAGAGAAAGAGGTAATAGGTACCAATGTCGGTACATTGATACACTACTATTATGTGAATGAAATAATAGGATTATCATGTATACAGAAATTCACTTATATTTTTTAGATTTACAGTAATTTTTATAAATCTACTTGGTACGGCGACCTACGTGTCATCTCCAATGCATGGTAAATGTAAGGAAAAGCCAGAATTAGTAAATTTTAATATGCTTAGTTTTGGCTAAGAATTTCATAGATGCTGTGCATGAATATAATTTTCTAATGAGTTATAATAAAATATATTGTAATTATATAAAACAATATTCTCTGTACACATAAGTAAATAATGTTATAACACATGGATTATATTGTAACAATATACTACATTCATTGATCTATTTATCCATTTCCTATGGCATACATTCTTTTCTGTCCTTTCAAAATCTCAGTTCTAAGTAAAATAGCTCACAAAATCACAAATATATATGTATAAAATAAAATAATTCCTATTTTATTTTATTATAAACATTATGAAATATATAAAATTAGTCAAGTGCTGATAAATAATTTATCAATATAGAATAAGTACATAAAAATTCATATATTAGAACATTATGTTTCATAAACAAAAGTTGTATTTTCAATACTACGTAGTTGTTTCACGAATCCATCATTAGGTCTGATACAACTTCTTTCTCTTTTCACTATATTGTAAGCTTCGTCATATGATAATTTCATAATAATCATTAAATAAGCGATAACAATACTGGCAGAACGAGAAACTCCAGCGTTACAATGCACAAGAATATTTTCTTTACGATTCGTATATATAACATTGACACATTTTTTTATCGATGGCAATATATTCGATTCCGGTAAGTCTAACAAGTCACAGGTATGATACTGAATATCATCATATTTTTCGGAAAGGTTGACACCTATACTCAAAATATGTCGTATTTCATACTTTTTTAATATATCATTGCAAACAGCTGGATCTTGAGAACTGAGATATAATCCTGGTATTATACTGGCTACATGCAAATCAGGTTTTTCATCTATAACGAATGGCAGACTTTTTTCTAATTTCTTCACTTGACCATGTTCGATTTCATATTTGTTGCCAAGCTGATCCGTTATCACTGTTTTACATGATTTTAACGACGATTTTTTTTTCGCGATAAGATCTCGTAAATCCATCATGCAAAAATTAGTAAGTATTTATTATATAGATGTTGGTATTAGATATCAGGATGTCAAATACATTCGTTAAAAAAGATTATGAATTAATATCATTATCTACTAAATGATACAATAGATTATATTCTATTTTATATATTAAATAATATTTTTCAACTCTTACAATTAATAATCTTGTAACATATATTTTTTGTTTTCTATTCTTTCAACTGCAGTCCTTGTTTCTTCCCACTGTAGTTCCTCCAATTGCGATGTCTCCTCTTGCTCTTCCTCTGATAATATGGTACAACGTCTTAATTCATCTAGATCATATTCTACATTCAATAGATGTAAGCCATTCGGTGGTACAGGTGTAATACGGGGATTCCAGTTATGATGGGAAGGAACTTGTAACATTACAGTGATATCTTTCTCTGTTATTTTTCCCATTCCTAATGCAATTAGGGCACCAATCATTCGTCTGATCTGAACAGAATGTAGTACTTATAATTTTCTTACATACAAAAATGTATTTATTTGCGAATAAAGTATTACCTGATTATACAAGAAAGATCTTGCCTTGCATATGAAATGAAAGTATATAAAATTTTTAGACAGTGGATCAAAAGGCATTAAAGGTTGCGCCTCTTCCAAAGTAAAAGCTTGTAAAGCACGTACATATTGGATTTTGCGATTTGTTGTTGCTTTCGCGCTAAACGTAGTAAAATCTTTTGTTCCCATAAACAATTGTATACCACGTCTTGCTCTATCTATGTCAAAGTTGTATGATCTGAAAGATATGTCATAACGAAGGGTTAATTCATTTTATCTTGAAAGATAAAAATGACAAAAATGAATGAATTTATTAGAATATTTATATTTTATTGATGAATATATCTAGTAAATTGTTATTTTTTAAATTTTTCCGTTTCAAAAAAATCAATCCCCAGGACAAAGGATATTAATTTTACTTCAGATAATTACCTAAAATGATAAGTATGTATTGTTTCTGGTAAAGATATCCTTTGTTCTCCACATATTTTAGGTATCATAAATCTGTACAAATATGTTCGAGATTTACATGCAATTCTTACATGAAAATCTTGTGTGACAGGTATACATTCCAGTAACCTATGAAAAGGATTATTTTAATAAATAATGTTAACATTTAAAGCTCGATTGCACCAACATTACTTTGATTTTAAGCAAAACTTAAAACTTTCTCTTTCTTTTCTTAAAATCGACAGAGAGGGAAAGTCTCGCTTAAAGTTAAAATAACATTGGGACAATCAGGCCTAAAATGATTCTTTAAGAATTACCTAATGGTATGACCACATTTGGAAAAATAACGATTTACATATTTCTTTACATCTGAAGAATTATATACTGTATTATATTTGTTTTCGAGCTCTACATGAGCAGTATTGCCTAAAGCATGAACTCCAGCATCTGTTCTACAAAAATATACACTTCATATCATAAAAGATCAATGATAAAATAATTTAATCTTTCCAACAAACATATAGGAAGCAAGAAAATATGCAAATTAAAATTTACACACACACACACACACACACACACATATGCATACATAATCATCAGTTATATAAAATCAAATGTAAAATATTTTTGACAATAGATAAAATATTATAAGATCTTAAGTATATTAATTAACGATTACAGAATACAAAAGCAATATGAAACATAATAAACAGTTTACCTGCTAGAGAGACATAATGATGGAACAATTAGGCTTTTTGGTGTGACGGTTCGCAGAGCAGTTTCTAAAGCACCCTGGATAGAATCTGTGTCCCGTATAAAACTGTCAGGACTTTGCTTTTGTAAACCCCTTTACAAAATGTTGAATCACATGGTAAAAAGAAATAAAAGATATACAAATTTCATACGCAAAACAAGATATACTCGTGAATGTCGTGCCTAAATGGTACATTTATAAAATAGAATAAAATATTTTGTTACTTCTACTTTGCTGAGAAGAGACTTGTTTTACAAATATAAATTTAACCACATCAAATGAATATAACTTTAGTTATCGCTAAATCACATTCAAAGTAATAAATCTCACAGTTAAACGCCGCTCGCATTCGCACACGCTCATGCTATCCAAGCAATAAGTTCGTGTATACGTTAAAAAATAAATATTGTGTAAAGCTGATTCTACAATAAGTCAGTAGTCGGTAGTCTTAAGTCATGGTGGAGTCGGCTAACAGCCAACTTGTACGACTAAAATCGATTTTTTTTAAATTGACCAAATTGATTGATCGACTTTATTCCTTCCCATTAATCGAGCTAAACGATTCACTATATAATTAACAACTGGTAGATGCAAAAAAATCATAATCACCTATTTAAGTTAAAACTGGTTAAGACTTAAGATTTTCGACTATTGACTTATTGTATTAGAATTAGCATTATACCTGTACTGAGTACCAATGTACGAAAACCTAAGAAAATATCGTACCATAATTTTATTTTCTTACACATGAAAACAAGAGTTGAAAGAAACCTGAGAGAAATTATTCCAAAAAATCATCCCGGCATTTTTCACGTGGCCTTCAATGGCCTCGAAAGCTACCGTACACTAGCGACACCAACATCAATTTTATAAATTAATGTGAACTACGTTCGACGTGAACACTCACGTTTCGACACTGTTAATAAAATCGTAGTGTCGATAAATAGATTTGGTGCTAATTGTAGGAAATTAATCAATCGATAATTTCTCTATATTGAATTGTATTTGGGGCTATTTTCACCAAGCTGAATCCGATTAACTTAGCAGGCCTAGTAACTTTGCAGGATTTCAACTGAAGCTGTCGGAGAAAAAAATGTGAACTGAAGAGTTCACATATTTCACTAATTATAATTAACTATAATTTTACATTAAACACAAAAAAAATAGATTATTAACAAACAGTTATCAGAGAGAAATCTTGTTACATAAGTTAATATTATAAATCTATATTTATAACTTCTCTCTGCATTTTTTCTCTGACATCAGCTTTAGTTGGAATCCTGCAAAGTTACTAGGCCTGTTAAGTTAATCGGAGTTTGATGAAAGTGGTCCTTAATTATGATCGACTAATTTTTTACAACTTAAGGTGCTTTTTCATACTGATGCTCGACGTTCATTTCTACATCAAATAAGCCATAGTGATGAAAATTAACGCTTGACATTCGTTAATTATTATCACGTCATCTGTTTTGAAAATGAGCGTCGAGTGTCAGTCATGAAAAGGTACCTTTATTCACTGCGAGTACTGAAAATCTATAATATATGTGACATGAACTATAGATTTTCTTTTTTTTTCAGTACTCGCAGTGTACAATGAAAAGCAGCACAAATTTTTTGTCACAATTTTATTATTCGTAGACAATTTTCCAATAATTACAATAAAATTGATAAACTGGAGATTTTTGAATTTTCTGATGAACAATTGACAGTTGTAAAGATTTTTTTCTAGATAGATTTGGAATTTTTTTCTATCAGCGTATTGGCAGCACTGAGTACCGGTTCTCGATTTCTCTAACCTTCTCTCGTGCGCGGCAAATCGTCAAAACGATCATCGTCGGTCGTGTCGTTGGTTGTCATTATGTTTATTGTTTAACGCAGCGATCCATTTCCAGAGTGCTATCAGTACCGTTCATATCGTTGACAATGAATGCGACCGCATGATAACAACTAATCCATTTTCCTCGGTGTCGTGAAGCTTTTGCTGCACTTTTTCATAAACAAGATATTTGTTCGAAATGAAATAGATCTTTATTTATTCAGCTCCTCGCGCTTCGAAGGGAAAAGAAGGAACAAGAAGGAACGACGAGTGAACGCATCTGAGAAACATTCGAGGAATTCATAGATATATCGAAACATATCTACGCTTCGACGGGAGGAAACGGAAAGCGATAAAATTGTGGAATGGTCGGACGAAGGGAAGGGGAAATGTAGGAGGTGCAATTAATAATAAGAGGCGGACGGATTGTTGTTCTTGCGGGGTACAGACAGTACAGTCATTCTTAGCGACTCCAGCTGGTTACTCGCGACTACCTGCGAGCCGCGAGGTACGAGCGTGCAAATGTCAGACGATTCGTGACGGCGGGAGGAGTGGAAATGTGACCGGGCGCAGCCTTTCGGTGGAGTTTGAATTCCCTCAGCGAATCGCGTCCGACCGCGCGAATCGTGCACGATGGAGAATCAGCAAGTACGTGGAGAATCCTTGTGAAAGAACCTAAGTTGTCGAGTTTGATCAATCCAGTCTCGCTATGACTCATTCTGTTATTACGATTCGTGTAAGATGTTTCTTTGTTCTTACACGCCCGCTTTATCTCCTCTTGTTCTTTCTCTTTGTAGGTGAGAGCGCTATACGACTTCACGGGCGAGTCAGGAACGGCGGAGCTGTCAATCACTGCCGGTGAACTTTTGACTGTCATACGAGACAACGTGGGAGATGGCTGGTGTGAGGGATTTAATCAAAGTGGTCAATCGGGACTATTCCCAGCTGCATATGTTCAAGTGGTACAAGTTGAACAAGCTGCATCCTCCAGTACGTAAAATTATTTTATTTATAATAAAATTATCAAAATTACTTTTATTTAAAAGAATATATATACGTGTTCATTGATATCTATGTATTATCTGTTTTTGTGTGTTAAACGGTATGATTATCTGAAAAAGATAAGCGATCACCTTTGGAAAAGTACGTAATGTCATTTATATCTATAATTGGATTGCTGTATTTATAGGTGCTTTTCAGCAAGAAACAGTGCAACATAATGATTATTTTATCTTCGTTTAACATTGATAAATAACAAAGATATAATGATTCTCTGTAGGTGTTTTCTTAGAATACAGTGTGATATTGTATTGTTATTTGTTAACATTAAACAAAATTAAAATGATACACTGTATTATAATGTGTCCTTGCTGGAAAGCACTGTATTATGTCAGAGGATAGATACATTCAAAATCCATAGACAACAATTGAATTAGAACAGAATGATTTTCTCACACTTTTATGAGAACTAATGAATATTCATTACGAGAATAAAAATATTTTTGCTTTACTCTCGTCTTTTGTTACTGAATATTTCATCGTGTTACACTGACTTTTGATAAACGGACTGCTCTCAGATGTACAGTAATTCCTCCTGTAATTCGAATTGAGAGAGTCTCGGGTCTGCTCTCCAGTTCTTTTGTATTTTTTCTTTATTTCCACGTGTCCTTGCTAACAAGGCGCCTTCCGTCAGCCTTTCTCGTACTCATTTGAGGTAACATCACACCGTTTAATCGTTTAATTTTATCATCTTCTGAGTTTATTTTATTATTATGTTGTGTAAGCACGATGCTTATGACAACTGTATATGTATATATTATATGTATGTGTAGATCCTATGACATCATCCCAACAAAGTTCAGGAGATTATTGGGATGATGACTGGGATGATGATTCCGAAGTCGGACAAACGCAGGCTTACGTTCCTCCTTCGCAACAACAGCAGCAACAGCCACAGATATCAGTGTCACAACAGAATAACGCCAATGATTATGGAGATCCAATGCATACTATACATTCTGTGATACCAGAGAGACCTATATCCACTGTACCAAAGAAAAACAATAAGTTTTCTACATTAATCAAATCGGGAGAAGATAGTTTTCTGCTGGGCGTCAAAGTGGTAACTGTGCCTGACAGCGAAAAAATCTTTATAGAAGAAGGAGATGGTAATCGATGCACATGGTTACCGACTGGGGAATCCTACAGTTGCGTTGTTACATCACCCAAAAAGGAATCCAAACTGAAAGGTCTCAAAAGTTTCATCGTCTACCAGTTAACTCCTACGGTAATAGGAAATCATCTTTTTTATCTATTAGGTGTTGGAATTAATTCGTAGCGTTTTTAATGAAAGAATGTTATTTATTTCACATGAGCATTAAAAAATACATTAATGAAAGTACTTCCCATCACTTGTAAAACGCTACGAATTAATTCCAACACCTAATATTATTTAAATATCTGTTCCTAATATTAATATTTATATTATAGTTCAATAATATACAAGTCTCAAGGAGGTACAAACATTTCGATTGGTTGCACGAACGCTTAGAAGAGAAGTATTGCTTTATTCCAATCCCGCCTCTGCCTGATAAGCAGATATCAGGACGCTACGAGGACGCGTTTATCGAGCATCGACGTACGCAATTACAGGAGTTTGTCGATTATGTCTGTCGACACCCCGTGTTGTCGCGTAGTCGTGTTTGGCAACATTTTATCACTTGCACGGACGAGAAGCGATGGAAGGCAGGAAAACGACAGGCAGAGAAGGATGAGCTACTAGGAGTGAATTACTTCAATGCTATTCAGAGTCCAGACACACCGCTGGACATCATAAAGATGGAGCTCCAAACAGATGCCTTTAATAAATTTATCAATGGTTTGGATCCAGTGGTGAAAAACTTTATGGCTATGGCGGTCGATCAAGCGAAGAAACATCAAGTATTGTACAAGAGAGAGTTTCAAAAAATTAGTCAATCGTTCACATCACTTAGCCATGCTCTGGAGGCGGATGACAATGGTCGCGGTAAACTGACACGTGCATTGAAGGCGACCGGCGACGCTTACAACGATATCGGCAAGCTGTACGAGGAACAACCAAAGTTTGATTGGGAACCATTATCTGACAAGTTTCATATTTATCGCGGTATTATTAGCAATTTTCCTGACGTCACCAGCATCCATAAGGTATTTCACAGAGTGCATTAATTAGCGTGTTACATTTGACACAACAGATTAAGTTTTCATACATCGTGTCTTGTTCTTTCACAGAGTGCTATGCAAAAACGAAGGGATTGCGAGCGACTGGTCAGCGAGCATAAAATGGAACCACAGCAATTACGTGATCTTTCCCATCGAACTGATGTGATAGCTCGTGCTCTGATCGCCGAGGAGATTCATTTCCAGACGGAACGGGAAGTGCATGTAAATAAAGCCGTAAGGACGCATCTAACGGAACAAATCGCCTTCTATCAAAAGATAGTCAATAAATTGCGGGAGGCATTAAATACATTCGACGAATGATACTCATAATTTCCACGAATCTGCCTAAATAACATAATCCTGCCGCTTTAAGGCCGACATCAGTGTTAGTAAGAAAATATCCCAATTATAATGAGAAAATGCGTACAATTTCAGTGAAATATGTACATATATATGTACATATATATTAGGCCATATTATTTGAATCAGAACAGTCGGAACAGTCAGAATTGAACAGTTAAACTGGACAATAATTGATATCAAAACAGCTGTGCATAGTATTTATGAAGTGAGAAATCGTGTTAAAATTCGGTATATGACTAAAATTGATAAATTACACGATTGATACATTTTAAACAATTGTAATATATTTTATGTTGCTTTTGTAATATTCAGAATTCACTGCACTTGGATATTTGTGAAATTGGTCTTTCAAAATTTCAATTATATTCGAATAAAAATTTCCAATATTGTAATAAATAAGCAAATGATCCAAGCAAGACTAGCACTAATAATTATAATTATTTCTCTCAAATTAATTAAATATTGTACAAGTTCAAACGTTTCGATCTTGATATTTTTCTATTTTTTCGAATATTTTCTTATGATGTTGTACAGACTTGAATTTTTGTACAGTCTATAACTCGACTTTATTATAAAATCACAAAATATCATGTGTATTGCAACTTGAATTATTATTATGATTGTAATAATACTTTGTAATTAAGAAATGTTCACATATCCGAGCTGTGGAACATTAAAAGTTGATAATCTGATTGTGTATTTTAGTTGATTCATGTTTCGTCCATTGACATGAAGCAATTGAGAAATAGCAGCACACAAAGTTGCTCGTAATATTTTGTACTAGACACACTGTTTTGTACACACTTATGTTATTATTTTTAAATAAAATAATTAAAATAAAAAAAAACAATTATATAACACACACATATATATATATATATATATATATATATAATATTTATATATTTTTTTAGATATATCATATCTTATAATTATATAATAGTATATATATATAAACTAATAGTTATATAATAGGTTTTTGAATTATAAGAGAGAACATTTAAGTTAGCGAATCAT